CGAGGTTCTTTCGGTTGGGAATGATTTTTTTCTTCCCTCGCAACCCTGGGTGAAATTTGGGTGCGTTGCTAGCCTAGTGCAGCGCAACAGGGATCATCATGCGGAATTGATGCATCCTGTGTTCACAAGCTGCGCATCAAACGCATTGGAAAAACCCATTTGCGTTTTGCGGGAAAATGAAGGCCACCGATGCGCGAGTGTGCGAACTGCTGTTTGCGTGATAGCGACGCTGAATGTTTTTATATGTGACAATTTTCATTGATTGGATTGCGCAAAGTTTGTCGAAGATCTTGAATTTGTGGACACACGTACTTGGACATGAAGGGCAAATAACTGCGGCGTGGTTTTGGCTTTGGGAATTAGGGCTTCAAAGTTTTGATATTGTTGATGTGCCCAAAAATGGCCAGAATGCAACCGTATTTTCTAACAGGTACTTGTTTTTGGTGGGACGCAGCCTCNNAGGCTCCAGGGTCGGTGCGCAGGGGAAGCGCGTTGCCAGGCCGCCCCCAGAGCATACGATGACCAGAGCATCCATGCCCAAACCATAATGACGATCGCGTTCCAAGAGCATACGATGACCAGAACATCCATGCCCAAACCATAATTCCGTTCGTGTTCCAAGAGCTTACGATGACCAGAGCATCCATGCCCAAACCACAATTCCGTTCGTGTTCTCGGAGCATAGGATGACCAGAGCATCATGCCCAAACCATAATTCCGTTCGTGTTCCAAGAGCATACGATGGCCAGAGCATCCATGCCCAAACCAAAACAACGATCGTGTTCCCAGAGCTTACGATGATCAGAGCATCCATGCCCAAAACCAAATTCCGTTCGTGTTCCTGAGCTTCACATTTCAGGTGTCCAGCAAAGTTTGCAAAATCAGCCCTTCTGGATGGGCAGTTTCGCCACGGCGCTAGCACCGTTTCTTGAAACAAACCCGCCCGTCTCAGGGTTTCTGGCCGCTTCAGATTCTGCGCGAAGCTTTGAAATTTGACATGCGCCCGAAACCCAGGTTTTAAGTATTTTCCTGGTTCCTGCAGCAAGATACGGTAAAAAAACGCAAGGCCTACGAGCCCGCGTGCTACCTTGTTTTTCTTTGAAAGCCAAAGCCCACAAACACAAAAAACACACTCGAGCCTGTGACGACGATGCGGGAAGGTCAAACCCAGAAGACGAACCACAACACATTTGGTGTTGGCCAACAAGTACGACAATCCGATTGTCCAAGTCTTGGCGATATTGATGCATAGAACACCGGGGCAAGAATCCATATTTGCCATCCCTACGGACTTGCATTGCTTTCGCTTTTCACATTTTGGCAGAATGTCCACAACAGTTTTGAAAATTGCGGTTCCCAAAATAAAGAACCAATCATGACGCACTTTTGTTGCAGCAAATGCCGCGGACGCTTTAATTACAGTTTGATCGAAAACAATGTTGGAAAATGGTGTGCGTGTTTGAGTACATATCAGACTGTTTATCTTCAGCCGTGTTCGTGGGACCCTTAACCTGCTCCAGGACCCCAGTCAGCTTTTTTTGGCGCGAGAAGTCCGCATTTCTCTATGGGCATAGCTTCTTGTGATGATCAGGTTATGAAAAGAAATCAGCACATGGCATCATGCCGGCATAGAGTAGCAGGCACAAGTATGACACGTGTTCTCAAGTTTTCCTGAGTTGTGACGCAGCTTGCAATCAATATCGGATGTTTGTATCACATGTTGGAGCGGCATGATTTATGTACATAGAATAATTTGTTTCCAACCTTACGTAATAACCGCCCACAGAACTGCAGTTCTGCCATGCTTGGCGCGCGGGAGAGGCATTGACACTGCATCATACATTGAATTCAGATGGAGACATATGCATGGCTTAACAAGAATGTCGCAGGTCACGTTCACCCCATCGGCAGACCAGTGCATTCGAAATTGCACGTCTGGTGATTTTGCGGGAACAGGTCACGGTGCGTTGAGTATTTGAAAATTGCACTTCTCCTCAGCGGATTCATCAGTTTTGCATAGCTCGTGCATTCTGTAAATGTTGGATGCAGATGTAAGTGGGACTTTTAGCGTAGCATGCTCGCACTCATTCGTGTGCTTTTGCCAGGCACGCCTTAGCAAAGACTGGAACCAGGCAGATGGCATTCATGGTTTCGTGTGTTTTCAAGGTTTAATCAGGTCTTGTGTTCACCAGATTGTACAATGCATCCGGTAGGCTTTCTGTGCAATTCAACATGCGTACAATTTTTTTTTTAATCCGACAGGCTGACTTATTACGCGTGCAACTTCAAGAAGCTGGGGCTTTGTCCTCAGCAAGAGGGCCCCGTGGAGCCGTTGCATGCAAGCGGCGATCTTCTTTGTGGCGTCTCACCTTTCTACACACAAGACAGGGCATGTGACTGATAAGATGGAACAAGCGACTGATGGTTTGTTTTAGCATCCCTTGCCTGCTTTCCTCCCTGATCAGATATGCTCTGGAGAAGTTGTAGCTAGAGTGGGCCTTACACATGTGACAACTGATAGCGTCCCAGTTTCCAGACCTGGCTTCGGGGGTGTGCCAAGGTACAATTATTCGACAAGACAAATCAGTGCCGGTGCTGCACTGCTTGCGGGCTTGCTTTGCTGGCTAACACTGCGCACTCTGGGTCTGCCATGCCATTGGATTTTGAATCATTCTGGCAGTACGCATGCAGGCAAGAGTTGCTTGATGTTTGCAGGTAGTTGGTAATCTGTGCCTGGTTGAACTGACCCATGCATCGCGATCATCCTGTTTTATGTCTACACTATGTACGCTGCTGCTGCCGCCGCCAGTGTCCTTGGGAACCGCAGTGCTTGTGTTTTCGTGAGGATTATTTTGAGTGCGTATTCAAGCATGCTCCTCAATCTGGCTTATTCATTTTCAGCAGTGCTCACATGGACAAAGGTTTCCACTTGTCCTTGATCCTGTAGATGCTGCCTCGGGCAGCAATGCACTGTATTCCGCCTCCAAGGTGGAAGTGTTCAGACGGTAGTGCTGCGGGCAGAATACCCACCTTTGATGAGATCGAAGTCTGCGCCTGAGACCAAATGTCAAAGTGTTTCAAACATTTGGAAACCTGCATTTCAGGCTGGCATTGACGCCTCTGCACTATTAGTGCCGGTCGAAGCGCCACAGCCCTCGCAGTTTGAGGGTTCCGACGACTCGAGCCAAGTTTTTGTGCAAGCACTGTGGCAGTATGGTGTTCTGATCAAGCTTCTCCCAGGGCTTCTCTTGTTCAGGCCCTTCTGGAAGATATCAAGCGTCTTATTCAGCAGCGAGAACACGCACGCGGAAGCAAGGTTTCCTGGCAGCTCTTTTATGTCAATAGCCTGCTTCAGATAGATGTGAAGTCCCTGCATGCCAGATGATTTGTTGACTCACTTCACAGGACTTTGAGCAGGCAGACAAGATCCGTGCAGAGCTTCAGGACGCCTGAAAGATTCTAAAAGGATGTTCTGCGAACATCCTCAACACATCCCATGGGGGCGATTCGATATACTTCTGCAGGAGTTGAGCACTCCAGCCACTTGGGCCTTGGAACCGTAGGTCCCGTGCCCCATTCCGCATTTTCGGACATTAACGCAATCCCCCGATTCAATAATATCCTTCCGTGACTGAAGTCAACCATAGTTCATTCCTTACACCAGACAGAGATGCTTCCAGACTGTTGGGAGGATCTCGGAGTCGATCTCCTGGATAAAGAGAAGCTGTGGAAATGCAGCTCGCCTCAAATGCTCGTCGCAGGCAAGATAGGAGCTTGTCAGCTTTCTGCCCACCGCAGGCCCAAGCCGAGGGTGTGCGCCTCAGAGGATCTGGTCGTTCTTTTTTAAAGCAGTTTGGAGCTGTGCAATTCTTCAGGGCCTCGTGTGCTGAGGTTGCAGGGCATCATCACGGGCTTTCGCGCCAATGAGCCGGAGCCCAAGATCATGTGAAGATCCCAAGCATAAGCATATTGCCTGGGCTCTTAGGCTGAGTGACGTGGAGGTGTCCACCCTTGTTCTGCAGCGGGAGAAGCCGGGCCTTAGCTCTGTGATCAAGCAAGACGATTGGCTTCTTCCTTTCCGAGCCGTTCTGTGGCGAAGGGCCCGGATGGCCAACGACTATGAGCTCTCAGACATGATTCGCGATGCAGCTTGGAAGCAATGCTGGGCTTTGCTTGACCCTTATGAACAACATGCTGACATGTTGCCAGTGCAGAACCTCCAGGAGCTAAAGAACCATGGGGTAACCATTGACGATAAGAGAAAGGTCTGGCACCTGGAACATGTTTTGCATCTGCAGCTTTGTATCAAAATGCTGCAGTCAATATGCACCAAGACATGGTCCTGCACGGACGGGCGTGCTGGGGCAGTGCCAAGCTGGGGTTCACTAACAGGCCGTCTGCAGCGAAACATCATAGATTGGATAGTGTTGGGACAGCGAGAGACATGACATCACCTTTGGCAACAGGCAGTAAGCTATGCATGCTGCAACTTGTCGCAGGTGAGGCGAATGCTTCAGCGGCGCATCAGCAACTTGGGAGCGATTTCACGCGCAAAGTATTGTTCTGGCGCCATTCAGTTGTGAATATCCATGGCATTCATGGGGCTTGCAGAAGCAAAGGCCCATGCCGGGTTCATGGGTTCCGTTTATGCGCAACACTCCTGTGTGTTGCACTTTCCAGGAGACCATTGGCTGCGCCAGCTCCGTCTGCTATTCCTGCTCCTACCGTCCCTTCGGTCCCAATTCACAGCAGCAGATGTTGTGTATGGAAACAGGCCATTCTGCCATTATGCCAGGCCCGCATAAAGATTCCGACAGTGGAGGCCAAACCCAAAGCTAAGTCAAGCCTTGCACACGGAGTCGGCCTCGTGAGGACGAGTTGGTCTCCCTTGCGGTTGCTGCAGCTCGTCACCCGGCGTGCAGCCCAGCCTGCTTTACATGTCCTGCGCTTGTTTCTCTCTTGTCCCGTGCTCCTGGCGTGCCACGCGTGGCGCCACTTAGAACAAGGATGCCTTGATCCCAGATTTGCGATCTGTGCCATTCATGAGTTGCAGATTGAATCATGCCGGTACGGCACTTGGAAAGGTGTGATTTGGTGGTGATGTGGTGTTAAGAAATGAGCTTGAATGTATCCAATGGTGCTTCTATCACACTACATGCGGCCTCAGCAACTGCCTCAGCCACTCAGCTGATGTAAGGCTAAATGTAACAGTATTCCTCACACGAAAAGCCATTCGAGAGATCCTGTTTTATGAACATGTTGAGATTCACTCTTGTGACTGTCTTCTGTCATAGGACACTGCCGCGCGAGCTCTGCATGCTTTGCGACAGGCATAGTTGATCTTGCACTTCTGTTCTCTGGGGTGTTGGCGGCAGGAACGAAAGGTTTGAAGTCAAATCTATTTGGCACTGATCCCCCTCTAAGTATCGCACTCAAGCCCCGTGAATCGCAGAACAGCTGAACTGTGGCGCCTTTGTTCAGAGCTTTGATAGATGGTGCAGGTCTTGGCCGTTGCTGCCCCTCCTGCCGATATCTTGGTTCTGTCTTGGCTGCAAACCAGATGAGCTTGGTAGCGATTTTGCAGGTCCGGCCCGTAGCACGGCAGCCTGTGCAAGCCATGACGGTGGTTCACCCGGTTGTGTGAACACAGGATTTCATAGACTGTTCCAGTCCTGGCTCAGGCGCCGTTAAGCCACAGGACAGCAAGTGAGTTCGATGCGAGGGGGTGAGACTTGTAGCTCTGCAAGATGTGGAGGAGGCCGGAGATGCTTCAAGCCTGTGGCTCGTGGGGATGCGATCCGAAAGAGACTGATTCGGCAGCACGGTGCCTTGAGTTGCTGAGGCACTTCAGCTCATCGATCGCAGCAAGGAGCGGCCATCCTCATGGAGCTTCTGAGCTGGCATTCCTTCCAAGCCAGGCTGGTGTGGTCTTGTCAGACCAAGAGATTGAGGTGTCTGGCGCCCAGAGCTGCAGGCGTTGTGGGATATCACTTTTTGTTTGCGCTGGCGAGGCTAGTAGCCACCCGGGAGCGGTTTCGAATGACCAAGGCTTTTAAATGGACCAAAACTGGCTATGAACCATTGTATTTCAGTCAGGACTATGCCAACTCAGATGAGCTTCGGAAGGAACTGCAGCCGCTGCCCTGCCCCGGCAGCATTCGAGATGGGACTCACGGGCTCTTTGTCCTAAGGTCCATTGGTGTGGAGCTGCTGGAGAAGGATAAGCAGTGGACTAGCTCCGTGCGGTTCCCATGTCAATGTGCTGAATCCCTGCCGTTCGCTGCTTTCAACTTAAACTTCCATATGCAAGGATGGTCGTCAAGGAGCAATCCCTTTGTGGAGCAGCATCAGCATTTGAGTTGTGGACAAAATGGGAGGTGAGTAGCTTTAAGCTCCTGAGGGAGATGCTGAGGCATGAGACAGCAAGCAACACATCCCGCTCGCAGCTGATTGCTGCCCAAAGAAATGCTGAGCCTAGGGGTTGTCAAGCTCATCATGCGATTCCCGTTGAGCCCTGTTGCAAAAGCCAGGCAAGGCTTAGGAAGACATGCGCACCATCCATCCTGAGCTGGTACATTAGAGCTTATGGCAGATGTTTTAAGAGATCATCGAACCATGGTCATGGCCTCAGACTTTTCTTGGAGGTCTTCGGATGAAGACACATGTTTCTCTGCATCGCAAGCGGAGGTTTTCCGCAGCCAGACTCCTGTGGTCGGGACCTCTTGCTTTGCGAATCCTCTTTTGCAAAGTCGCAGCTAGTTTTGTGCAGGGGCGAAACATGAGCCTACCGCGCGTCGTGCAGACGGGGCCCTGCTTGCCCCAGGCAGCCGCAAAGCCGCAACATGCCATGGAGATACTTTTTTTTTGTGTCCTTTCAGGGATTTGGTCCTTGCATTCGGAAGGCCTCGCCCAGCTTCGTTCCAGCAACTCGGACTGCGATATGTGCTCACACGCAGGCCTTGCGGCTCTGTTGCCGAATCCGAGGCCATTCCCTGTCCAAGGGTTGCATCACCCTTTGCCCGCGAGGCTGAGGCCAGGTCTGAAGAATATGCACATATCGTCATCATCATCAAGGTAGCAGCTGCTCGGCATTTCTGGCTTTCGAAGATGACTCAACACGCAGCTTTCTAAAGTTTGCAGATCAGAGTTGTTAACATGACATGGCTGGAAAAGTTCTCATGGCAGCCCAGCGTGGGAACAGGAATGTAGCAGACACAAAACACCATCTCTCGAAACTGGTACTGCATATTGTGCAGAGCTAGAAAAAGCTGCACATTGCGTTGATTAGAAAGCTCTGCGCCGCACACGCCATGAACCCGCGGCCTTCGAAAAGTGGATGCTCGGCTACAGCTGCTAGGATCTCTCAGTGTTTCCTTGCGTATGGGTGACCTTTGCATGCCTTCATGAACCTGTCGGTGCCTGTGCATTTGTTGAAACAATGTGCAGCAAGCCTCATGCAGACTTGGAAGACTTGCACCTGAGCTCTGAGGAGGCACTAAGGGACGCGCTCTTTGCACTTTCTGCCTTTTGGTTACTGTTCTCTTGGCAGGAGCTGAGCTTTTTGCAATGTAGTTTTCCGCCTTGAAATGTCTGCGGACTCAAACGTACAGCAAATGCAAACGGCGTCATTGCATGCAAAACCATCTTGGAGCAGGATCATTGCAGGTAGCAATTGTCTTAGCCCGTGTCACGCCATCTTCAGTTCAGGGCTGTCTTGCTCAGATGAGCTGGTTTCTAGCTAATGCTATCCTTTGCCCTTGCCAGGCTGCACAAGTTGCCATCCACTCCTGCAGGATTTCACTTCTGCTTCGTGGCAACGGCTGGTCCAAGGCCAACAGGCAAGTCTGCTTGATGATGTATTTCAGCCAGCTTTGCCCAGACGCGTCGCCCTTTCTTGGTGCCGCGCATATTCGGAGGCAGGGAGCCAAGATAAAGTGTTTGTAGATTAGGCGGCCATGTCAGTGAGGCTGACTCCCAACAAGAGAAGAACTGGCCAAGAATGTATTACCAGGCCAGGGGCGGCGGTGTGCGAGACCAGTAAAGCAACCTTCGCCTGCATTCTTTCCAAGGAAAATCGTGGCACACCGTTGGGCAAGGCTTTCTGGGGCCGCTCAACCACTGAGAAGCATCCCGGCCAAAGAGATTCCGAGAAGAGGGCTCAGCCTGGTTCGAAATTTCTATCAGGTGGGGAGAGTTTGCGGAGGGCGACCCCGGCAAGTTTGACAAGGACGATTTGGTGGAGGCCCAATATCCAGGAACTGAAGATTCTTGATCCAAGAAGTTTGGAGCGCCTTCCGTAGCAACAAGCCTGTGATCTCGGTCCAAGGATTGGTACTGTGCCCAGGCAGGCTTCTGGCATTGGGTCTTCAGAAAAAATTGATTTGGTTGAGCTGGCACCCAAACAGATTGCACTGGCAATTCATGAGATCGGCTGAGGAGGTTGAACATGACGAAGACTTGTGGCAAAATCAATCATGCCAGAATGAAGGTGATGAAGTACATTGGGGATGGTGATTGGAGCCTCGGATATGCGTTTCAGAATAGATCCATAGCCGCGACTTGCTTTTGGCACATGAATGCATGCTGCATGTTGAAACTTCAGGATTATTCAGTGGATGGATGACATGCCTGACGATGCAGCAAGAGCTTCTGTTGTGGCGACGTTCCTCAGCTATGCTTGCGCTGCTGAGATATGCAGCTTCGTTCGGTCATGTTGGTACAACCTACATGGGAGACCAAAGGAACCAAATGAAGCACATCAAGTTGAATCTGAGTCGCTAAACCAGAAAGTGGTTGGACTTACTCTTCAGCTTTACTCTCCAGCATGAACGGCCTCTGTGTAGCTTCGAAACACGAGGCTGCCAGAGGGATCTCAGGCCATACCCATGTCATGTGCGCTTGAAGCCAAGCTGTTTCCCTTGGACTCAAGCATTTGACGCAGCTGCTTGTACAGGGTGCTGCATTACAAAGGTGTGAGAAGATGTGGTTAACAGACGAAAGACTACCGACAAGCACAGACTGACATCCTGACGCGGAATAAAGTGATGCATGCACACGCAGGCTTCTGTGCTTAATTATGTGCGACTTGGAAGCCAAAATTTGTTTTCTGCGTAATGTAGTGTTTTGCCAAGATCTGTCAAAGCAAGCTCCGTGCTTGAGCAGTCACTTGCATCTTTCTGAAGAGTCCCTGGCGAGTCTGACTATGCAACCTTCAAAGATGACGGGTGTTGCAGCGCTCGGTCTGTCTGTTGGACTCTGGTTTACT